CAGGCTCAGTGACCACAGCCTGGCCATGGAGAGGGTCACAGGTAGACCTGACCATCCAGAGAGGACAGGCTCAGTGACCACAGCCTGGCCATAGAAACTGGACACAGGCAGACCTGGATACCCAGAGAGGACAGGCTCAGTGACCACAGCCTGGCCATAGAAACTGGACACAGACAGATCTGACTGCCCAGAGAGGACAGGCTGTGCTCCCACTGCCAGCAGGGAGAAGCAGAGACAGAGCTGCACTTTCTGCTGCACTGTGAGAAATACTCTGGGATCAGACAAACATTCTTCCCTAAAATAACAAAACTAATCCCAGAATTCCCACACCTGACAGAACCGGAACAGCTTCAGATCCTACTGGGAGAGGAAACTCAATAGAGCTGCAGCCCAGCGTGTGATCTCCTGTCACTGCCTGAGGAGCAGATGGTGAACTTCTAAAATCAGATTTTATACGTTAAATGTCTAATAATTGGATTTTACCGTAAATGTCTGTGTTTTTGCTAACTTTTATTGCTTGGGCAACATTGTTATCCACCAGTCAAGCCAAAAGCTTGTTGGGTTTGAGGTTGAGGTTGAATATGGCAGACAGGGAGAAAGGGGCTGACAGAGACAGACACAGAGAGCAAAAGAGAGAGGCATTGGCTTGCTGACTCTTTGACACATTTCCTCTGGGCTCTGCTCAGGGTGGTAGGTCTTCAGTTTCCATGACACTGTCTTCCAAACATCTTCCAATTGCATTGACCATGGGTTCATGCCAGACGTTCATGACTCTGTCACCTACAGAGGATGGGGGGAGAGGGCCAGACTGAGACCCCGACAGACTCACCCAGTTTGTACCACATGTCCCGGATAGCGAAGCCTATCAGCCTCCTCATGTCGCTGAACCTGGGCAGAACAAAGGAGAAAGACAGAAAAGAGCTGAGGAGCACATCCGCACTGCTGATAACCTCCATCCTCCTCGCACCAGGAGTTCATCAGCACTGCTGACAACCTCCATCCTCCTCGCACCAGGAGCACATC